TTCCTGATATAGTTGCACCCTAGCTTCTGTGTCTCTAACGACCCACAGACATTCTCATCTTCATAACATCAGAGAAAACAGCTCATCAAATCAATGGCAGTGCTTTACCCCAACTGATACAATCAGCAACACATTAAGATCAAGCACAACTTGGACACTAACCACCTGTGGTAGTCACTAGTCTAGCACCCTTAAATCATTTGAATTAAATTGAAATCAAGAAGCAGTCCAGAACATGTCTGCAGTGAACAAACTTTTCAATATAGTATATTTACCATTTAATGGCTCAGACAGAGCGAGGATGCAAGACCCCTGATCTCACTTAGCTGATTGCTGAACCCCATGATGCTGACTGACTTCGGGCTGCAAGGCCCAGATTGAGTTCCCCATCCTTCTGAATGGTTGAACTCTGCAACGTTCTATTACAGGTTTCCCATGCCCTTTCTTTAAAGACGTTCAAAGTTGGGAACTCAGAAAAATACCCTTGATGACCACCTCTGCCTCTGCAGAGTGGGTCCAAAGACTTGCACAGTCAGGAGGTCTGAGAGTGCGGGGGGGGGCTATGGGGGTTCAGGGGCACCCGCGTGGCTACCTTCCCAGCGCTTGAGTGATGGCTGCTAGGTCGGCAGCAGGTGTGGTTCTCCTTCCCGCGGTGGATCGGGGCCTGGCGTACCTTCCCAGCGTTTGAGCGATGGCTGCTCCCAAATTCTTTTTTAAAGCAAAAACTGCTTTTAAGTCCTTGAATGCATCAAAATACCAAATTGTGCTTTTAATTAGTAACAGGTTAAGGGTCCAGGAATTTGTCCCATCAGGTGGTCTGTCAGACTTTGTGCAAAGTTCTGCTCCTGGCAGTCTTTTGTGATAATTATCAGTCATGTGTTAGAACATTTCCTTCAAAACCACCCAACTTTATCTTTGTTACAAGTTGAAAAGGTGATTCTATATTGACTGCGACTTTTACAAATGAATATGCATATACCCATCATTCAGCTCAAGAACTGAACTTTGCTTCCTCAGTTAAATATACCTTCAGCCTGTGCTGAAAGGCTGAGAGGCTGTAGGTTTGCAAGCTCTAGCCCAACCTGGGCAACTAACAAGACCCTGTCTCAAAATTAAAAACATAACTTAAAGGCCTGGGGATTTAGCTCAATGGCACACCTGCCTTGCAAGTGCAAGGTCCTGTGTTTGATTCTGGGGTTCAATCTCTCGTGCTCCTTTTTTTTTTTTCCTTTGGAATTCCTTTCCAGATGTCTTTACTTTCAGAGGGAGCCAAGATGGTGATTTGGTGTTTATCATTCATCTATAAATGCATATATTTTATCTGTTACATACACCTCTAAGTGATTTTACCCTCGTGACTTCATTGATTTCTAATGAACACTAATGACTCCCAAATCTGTTACCTTGAATCCCACTATTTGTCAAAGTCTCAGGCCCTTATATCCAGGTCCAGTCAGTATCTCAGTCACTTCACCTCTAATATGTTGTAAACTAAATGTTTGTATCTGTTTGAGTTGTTTCTTCTTTGTATTATCCATAGCTTAGTAAAAATCAGAACCCTCTAACAAGGACTCATGGTTGACTTTTTTCTTACTACCTTATGTGTAGTTTAACTGTCAACAGTGAAATTATGCCCTCTGCTCAAAACTCTGATAGCTTCTTAGCTAACTTAGATTAAAAGCCCAAGTGCTTTGAATGACTAAGACCTATCAATCCCTTATCATTCCCTTAGCCCCCAAAGCAAGATCTTTTCTCATTCTGTGTTGCAAAATCAAAACTGAATGCCAGGAGCACAAGTTTATTCGAGGCCAATAGCGCAGAAGTGGGCACTTCACCCATAAGTCAACTTCTCAACTCAGGGAAAAGGTTATAGGGTGGCAGAAATGAGGATGGGGGATAGGCAAACATGAAGAGGGGGATGTTCACATCCTTTCCTGGAAGAGGCAGAGGCTTCTCAGTGTGTTACCACTCTTTTGGAGTCCATTGTAGTCATGGTGGCTGGTGGGTGTATCCTTTAGCATGGAAATTAATGAAGTCAGAGGTAATCTGAAAGGCACCCTAGCAGCTATCTCAAGATTCAACTGATTTTGGCTAGCCAACCTGAAGAGGAACTTTTGGCCTTTAGAAAGTATCTTGCTGTCAAAGATAAAATTAGAAGGGTAGAAATCCAGCTAGTTCAAGTAGCCACTACGCAGGGTAACAAAATAACACTGCATTTTATCAGGTTGATGGTAGCTAATTTTGGAATGGTTTTCTACAAACAGCATAATTTCATGAAAGCATCAGTCACCAAGTCCCCCCCCCCCGCAGTACTGGAATTGAACTCAGGACCTTGTGCTTGCAAGGCAGGCACAGTGCCACTGAGCTAAATTCCTGGCCCAGTCACCAAATGTTTTTTGGAGAGATTCATGGCAGCAAATGTTATTTCTTGCATGTTATAACCCAAAACATCCATTTTGCTTATTGTTTTTTTTTTGTCTGTTTGGGTTTTTTTTGTTTTGTTTTGTTTTTTGTTTTGTTTTTGGCAAAAGGGCATCACAGGTCAAAAGACAAAATTACAATGAATTAAAAAAATTTTTTTTGGTACCAGGGATTGAATTCTGGACTGTGTGCTTGTGAAGCAGGCGGTGAAACAACTGAGCTAAATCTCTGGCCCAAATTTAAATATTTTTAAGCTAAGTGTGGTGGCACATCCCTCTAATCCCAACTTGGGAGGCTGAGCTAGGAGGATTGCTACAAGTTTGAGGCCAGCCTGGGCTACATAGTGAGTTCAAGGTCAGCCTGAACTGCACTGTGAGACCTTATCTCAACAAACAAAAAAACCAAGATTTTCATTGGCTCTTTGTATGTGTGATTGTAGGATACAGCAATACTTCATTCCATAAAATAGATTGAGCATTCTGACAAACTTAGCAGAGCAGGTTGAGTCTCATCCAGGTTCTTGTCCTGAACAAAGAATTGAGCAGATATCCAAAAGGAGCAGCAGATCAAAGATTTACTGAAAACTAAAGTACACTCCTCGGGGAGTGGGCCAGTGAGAAGGATTCATGGCACAGGAGGTTTGGCGAAGGTTTTAAGCACCGGTTGAGGCAGGGCCAAGGGGTTGATCTGAGGTTTTACTCATTCCAGTGAGTGACCTGACTGTAGCTTTCCCTTGGAGAGTGGAGTTTTTTACCTCATATGGCCTGGTGAGGAATTGCCCCAAGGCCACGGCGGAACAGGCTCAAAAATGCACAACTAAGGGCATGGTAATTAGGGCTGGGATCCTTATGAGTTGATTACCTGGTACTTTTTCTTTTAAGACCAGGTTATCCTGGTCCTGGGTTGAAGTTTAACTCAGAAGGTGGATCTAGCCTAGAAAGTGGGCTCCAAGGTGGGCCTCCCTTTCTTTCTGGGCTGTCTCAGCAACCTCTTGCATCAGTTTTACAAAGGGAGAAGTGCTGGAAGAAAGAAAAAGGAATGATCATTTCAAAGTTTCTTTCTTCATAAGGCAGACAGGGAGACAACCAATTAGCCAACATCAGTTTGAGCTTAATGTTTAAAAAATAATAGTTAAAGCAGAAGAAACTGTTTTGCCAAATGAAAACTGGCCTGTTTAGGAAACTTCTAACTTCGTTATTTCTCAATTTCTTAGGTCAGAAAACTTCTATTTGGTGACATGGAATATGGCTGAGACTTCATTTTCATTTTTAGTATGGTATACTGAGGCCCAATGCTACAGCTTTGTCCCAGTGTAGGTGTTCTAACTAACATTTGCGATAGTGCCCAAAGTCACTGTTCTTGGGGTCTGATTCAGTAGCCCAGTTGCAGGGTGATAGTCTGTCAGCTTTAACGTGGCAGCAACATGATTGTTTTCCTCTGTTGTCAGAAATCTACAAAGGAAAAGCTGTATGATACTAATTCATTTGTAAAATTTAGTCTTGAAAAACAGTTTTGTAAATTACTTTTTCCCAATATTTAATAGCTGACAGGGAAAGATGTGGCCTATGAATTCTCCATTCACCCCTGGCATATCATCTTCTCCAAGGAAATTCTATTTCTCTTGCTCCTTCCCTCTCACTGGTGTTTTAGGCCAAAACAAAATGTATGAGAAAAGAGAAGCCCAGGGACAAGAAGAGAGACAAAAAAACATGGAGACTTAGACACTGTAATAACCATTGACAAAACTGGAGAATCAAAAACAGCTAGATTAATAGTCATTTTGGTACAGAGGTGGCCAACATTATAACTCAACTATAGTAAAGATGGTAACTAAAGAACAAGTTTCCATTCCTGAGTAAAAAAAAAAAAAAGTACCAAGCATGATAAAAAATTCCTCTAAGTCAACAACCAATATTCAAATTATGATATAAGGAGCTGGGTGTGGTCACATACACCTGTAATGCCAGCACTGGGGAGGCTGAGGTAAGAGGATCATAAGCTTGAAGCCAGTTGAGGCTGCAACAGTGAGTTCAAGACTAACTTGAAATATATAGTGAGATCGTTTCTCAAAAAAAGGAATAAACAGGGCCAGGGATTTAGTTCAGTGCTTCTACCACCTGCCTCACAAGCACAAGGTCCCAAGTTCTAATCCTTGGCACCAAAATTAAAAAAAAAAAAAAAAAAATTAAGAAAAGGAATAATAAAAATGTGGTAGATTATCCCACTAATAGACTTAATGAGTCAGATTATCCAGTGTCCACGTTCTTCTAAGACAGAAGATAGGGAGGAGACCAGGAAAATCATAATTTAAAAATTGTACTTCTAGGGCCGGGGATTTAGCTCAGTGGTTCTGCTGCCTGCCTCCCAAGCACAAAGTCCTGAGTTAGGTCCCCAGTACCAAAAAAAGGCAAAAACAAAAATTGTACCTCTAAGACAGCCACTTCAGGAAACAAAGTTATCCAAGGTTCTCCATATCTTACTACATACTTTTTACTCCCTAGGCTTATTTATGCTTCCTAGACATTTTTCCCCATGCCTAGCACACTTAAATCCCTTACAGATACATGAAGTCCATAATTAACCTATTATAGGTAAAGGAGAGCAACATGACCTTAAGAAGAAAAAAAGATTCATGAGGTTCAAAAAATGTTTTCAGGCAAACGCTGTAGATCACTCATCTTAAAGGATACCTCCAAGAACATGAATACCCGCAAATCTCAGGCCATAGCACACCTTTCCAAGGGCTTGCATTCTGAGTATGTACTCTGCTTAATAAAACATATGCCTCTTACTGAGGTGCCTTTAAATCTTTTTTCTGTGATGAGAGGCAAGAATCTACCAGGCATGCATGTAATCCCAACACTCTAGGAAATGGAGGCAGGAGTATTACAAGTTTGAGTTCAGTTTATGCAGTTTAGCAAGACTCTGTCTTTAAAAATTTACAAAGGATTGGGGATATAGCTAAGAGTGAAGGTCCTGGTTCCTCCAAGTACTGTATCACCAAAAACAAAACACATCATATACTACTAGTAGGTGGGCCGAGTTGAGGTTTCTGTCTCTTTGCAGCAACTCCCATCTGGTGAGTTTCTTCCTACACTGACTTTGGGTTTAGTCTACTACCTTTTGATCTCTTGTACTTCCACCCAATTCACTGCTGGATTCATACAGTTTGGAAGTGCCTTTCCACTTCCGGTTCCCCTGCCCAGAACTCGAGTGGACACTTGCATAGCAGCAAACCTGGCTCCTTTATTCATGTAAACTCAGTGAAACCTTTCCTGTCTTTTCTAAAACCTCAGAGTCCTTGTTTGCACTATCCTTCTTCATAGTGAGGATCATCTGAAGTACCGATGTAAATGTATTGATGATCGATTGGCTCTTCCCCCCTCCCTAAACTCATCGGTGCAGGTACATTGTTGTATCCTCAGTCTAACGCACAGGTGCTTAAGAATAATTTAAGGAACTAGTCAATCCTGATCCGTAAATAACGAACAAGGACTGAGAAATTAGGCAACCTGCCCAAGATCACAGAGGCTACAGTAAGCAAAACTGTATTCCAATACAAGTCTGCCTCCCGCAAGCAGCACAGTATTTTTTTTTTCTTTCTTTCCCTCTCCTACTGTACCTGCTGCACCTTATGGATGGCCCCCAGAAGAGAGGCAGTATTTAGGGACTGCTTCCAGCGTTCCTCCAATGGGAATCAGAACTGGATTCTACTTCTGACTCGATCTTTAGTACAATGTGATATGGGCTGATTTATTTAACTTTGGGTTCTCAGTTACGCTCATCTGTATACACAGATTTGCACGAAGCAATCACTTTAAGGTTCTTTAACTCCAACACCTGTCAGATCCTAAAATCCACGAAGGGTTGAGAGTCACAGTTTTGCCTCACTCTCTGGGGGTTGGAAGTCCCTCCTAGCCCAGTAGCTCCTCTCTCCCGCAGGCGTTCCCACCTTTGCCTACCATTCCATGGCCCTAGAAGGGTTGGAGGCCGGGAGGTAGCGTCGCCTCGGCCTACAGCAAGTCGGTTCCCGAAAACAAAAGCGAGGAAAGTTCCGCCCAACGCCGTCCTCTCTGTGGCTACCGAATGCGAAAGGTCAGAGCCCTAAGGTTCGCCTCGAGGTCATTTTCGTTTCCTGGCCTCCGCTGTGGGCCGTACAGTCCTCCAAGCCAGCCTGGGGCTTCCAAAGGGGTTCCTTCCATCGTAGCTTCCGCCCCCTTCCTCCCGCGCTCCGGAAGTGACGCAAGGCACGTCACGTGCGCGCCCTAGCGGCGCGGGGGGCGGGGTGTGAGAGCGGGGGCGGG